CCGAGACGCGTCCAATGTGCGGCCTCGCCACCTCATATGTGCCGCCCGTCCCATTGTTTACCCAGCCAGCCTCCGCGGTAACATTCAAGCATACACTCGGAATATTTCGTATTATTACAGTTTTTTTCGGTGCTGTTTCTGGAAAATAAGTGACCATGGGCCCCAAAAAGCTTCTAGTGCCAACCCTGTGGTAAAAAGGGTGAGAATTAGTATGGAAATTAAGAAAGATTTTGAAGGGTTTGGGGCAAAACCCTGAGAAGCCTATGCCAGTTGTGGAATCCATTGTGCCTACTTCAAAAATTAAGGAAATGTGTGCACAGTGGGTTGAACTGCAAACCTTTATGGATGAAAATCACCCTGACACAGCTGTTGCAAGCCGTGCTGGTGACTATTTCAATGACAATGTTGGGGCCCCCATTTTAGACAAATCGTAAAGGAACGGGAGGTACAGAGCTCTATGGACAGATTTGTTGTGCGACAGAGGTCCAGTGACTCTCAAGCATTAAAAGAAGAAGGGAAGTAACCCCGGAAAAGGACTTGCTACCTCAAGTCCTAATGGAAGGGGATTCCCCTTCTAAACACTAACACTCTCTCTCCCCTCCTCCCATCCCATCAATCATCACCAGATCTTCAATAAAAGTAAGTGTCATGTAATTGTGCATGCCTTTTTCAGTTTGTGTGTACTAAAATTAACATTTTTCTGTGGTAAAAAAATTTTTTTTTCATACTTTTGGGTGTCTTGCACGGATTAATTTTATTTCCATTATTTTTTATGGGGAAAATTAATTCGCATAGCAAAACATTTCGCATAACGACCAGCCCTCTTGCACGGATTAAGTTCGCTATGCGGGGGTCCACTGTACTTGTCATCATGAAACCAATCAAGTTATCTCTATTTCTGTAACATATCTTCCATTCTATCAAATGAAACCAAGAAAACGAAAATACAACCATAAACACCATACAAAAATAGACTGCAAATTTGCTGTTTTAAACCAAAAATGCGATCTTTTTTTTTCTCATTATGCACTGTGTGCTGCAGAATTTTTTTCATACTGCCCACACTGACCATGCAGACCCATTCTTTCACATCTAGGCCTACCAGCCCTTTCCCCGCGTGATTTGAGGGTGCTAGAATTTACGTGTACTAGTAAAAAGTGAATTGTACAGGGAATATGTAAATGTAGATCATTGTTGTGATGTACTGTGTTGTTTTTCCTGCTTAAGATTACAAATGCAACAGGAAATAATAGCATTTCTTACCTTAAATTGTGGGTGCTGGTGTTTGTGGATGATTGTGGAGAGTGGAGAGTTATGCTGTGACTCTACTGGGCTGAGGTGGATTTTAGAGGTTCTGGTCAATGGTTGTACTCGAGCGAGCATAAATTCTATAATGGATTTCTCTTCTATTTTACTCTGCAGTACATTATACAACTGACAGTAAGGCATCAGCTGCTCTAGACACTGTTTCAAGGTCCTCTTCAGTGAAAAAGTCTAACTTAAAGTCAGTCAGTAAATCAGTCAGTAAGTCAGTCAGTCAAATCAGTAAGTCAGTCAGTCAGTATGTTGTGGTCAGAGGTCATGTGTGGTCACTGTCCTAAGCTGTCTGCATATTAGCATGGGGTGTTACTGAGCACCATGGCCTGCTGAAGTGTTTTGGAATCTCAGGTTAAAGTGTTGAAGAAGGAGGTTCTACTTCTTCAGAAGGAAAACAGGAGGCTGAAGCTTTGCCTAGATGGGTTAGAGATGGTGGGAGCTGGTGAGGAAGAGGATACCAGCAGTGAGCTAAACAGTGGTAGCCGCTTTAAGTGGCAAGTGGTTCACAGTTCAGGAAGAAAGAAGATAAAGAAGGTTAATAGAGAAGATGTGAAGGTAGGAAATCAATTCTCTGTTTTGCAGGACAAGTGTACTTTGGTGGTTAGTGAGGTTAAAGGTACCTCTGACTCCCCTACTAATCAAGGTAAGAATATTCTGATTGTAGGAGATTTTCAGGTAAGATATATGGACCGTACTTTCTGTAAAGTAAAAGGACACAAGTGCAACTAATGTGACATTTTATTGTGGCAATGTTTCGCTCTCCAAGACCTTTGTCAAGCCATTACAAACAATACATGGACACAGAGGGTATATATGGGCTCAGAGTGAGGTGCAATACTAGTGGTAGTAGTAGTAGTAGTAATACAATATGGTAGAGCAATTAATTCGTACATGAGTAAAAGGATATAAAAGCTATTACTTGGGTAACATAAAAATAGGATGGACAAATATAGACTGGATAGAGGCAGCCTGTTTCAGTGTTTACTCTCTGTAATGTGCATTGTGTAGTATAACAGGAGAGACTATGTGATGGCAGGGTTTACTGTTTTCAGGAGGATTCTTGCTAAGACTTCAGAGATGGTGAAGCTGCCGTTGTTTTTTTTAAATTTGGGTACTCGAAACAGCGATCAGTGCTGATTCAAATACAATTAAACAAAACAACGGCAGCTTCACCATCTCTGAAGTCTTAGCAAGAATCCTCCTGAAAACAGTAAACCCTGCCATCACACAGTCTCTCCTGTTATACTACACAATGCACATTACAGAGAGTAAACACCGAAACAGGCTGCCTCTATCCAGTCTATATTTGTCCAACCTATTTTTATGTTACCCAAGTAATAGCTTTTATATCCTTTTACTCATGTACGAATTAATTGCTCTACCATATTGTATTACTACTACTACAACTTATGTCACTACTACTTACTACTACTACCACTAGTATTGCACCTCACTCTGAGCCCATATATACCCTCTGTGTCCATGCATTGTTTGTAATGGATTGATAAAGCTCCTGGAGAGCGAAACGTTGCCACAATAAAATGTCACATTAGTTGCACTTGAGTCCTTTTACTTTACATATTGTCGGTAATTCTACCAACTTTATTACAAACCGTACTTTCTGTAACAGAGATAAGAAGTCAGACAGAAGGGTGTGCCTCCCAGGAGCTGGTGTTGGTCATATAGTCAGTAGGTTGGATAATATTATGTCAGGTAATGGGAACAAGCCCATTATCTTAGTATTGGTGGAAATGGCATTGAGAAGGGCAGGAGACAGAAGCTACTGGATAAGTACAGGTCAGCCATAGTAGTCAGGTCTAAGGGAGGGATCCCAATCATATGTAGCATCTCGCCTAGAAGGGGAGTGGGCAATGAATGGATGTCTAGGACAATTAGTACAAATTGCTGGCTAGACAGGTACTGCAAAGAGCTTGCAATTCCATTCATTGATAACTGGGACAAATTCTATGGCAAGCATGATATGTATGCAAGGGATGGGGGTTCATCTCTCTGGGGTTGGAGTTGTTGCACTAACCAATTCGATTGAGGGGGTCATTGATGACGTGTCTAGGAATTTAAACTGATAGATTATAGAGATATGGGTGTTTGTGGGAAACAGTCAGGCTGCAGTATTAGGGTTGAAAGCATCAGATATTACCAGGATACCAAAGGAATATGTTTAAAAGACAATATTCAAAATAAAGTTGCTAGTAAAGGCAAAGCAATTGCTCAACAAACAAAGAGAGACAGTAGAGGGCAACGAGTGACTAGCTCCCTTAAGGCTTACTAAACAAATAGTAGGAGTCTAAGAAATAAGATAGATAAGCTAAGATTACTTACAAGTGCAAGTAATATAGATACTATTGCTGTAGCATGCAAAGAGTATGTAACCTTTATTCAACGCATGTACACACCCTCACTGAAAGGCTATCTCCCCCAACCATCGAACCAGTACTAGGGTCGGACGATGGGGCCCCGTCATTCGATCAGTACCCAGGTTCAGCCAATGAGAAGATGGTTCTGGTTACTCGCAGAGGTGTTGTGGGCACCACCGGTCTGTCTGCCCTTGTCATTTCCATTCCAGAGCTGGTTGAAGCACTGCTCTCTAGTGGCATCTATTCTGCCTTGCTTACCGTGGCGTGCACTAATACCTATTGATGTACAAAGTGTATATAGTGTATATACTTTTGTTCTTACTTGGTGAAAGGATAATATAAGTCAAAAGTTTTTCTGCTGTGTTTATTTTGCTCCCTTTACACCCAGGATAACAGGCCTTTGAATTCCAGGGTTGTAATATGGGTAGCCTGTCCGAGAGCTGGAGCTGGACTTAGAGCACAAGTTGAGTCTAGGGTGATGCTGGAGCAGGAACACTGTAGCTTGCTGTCTGGCATTGCATTAGCTTTGCCAAAGCTTTACGAAACTTTGCGTGTCAGCCTTGCATTTTAAGGTCAGCCTGCTATTGTATTATCATTGATAGCTTTCTATTAGCTTGTTCATTGTGCTCGCTTTGTTACGGTCAATCTTGCTGCTGTGTGAATATTTTGCAGTCAGTTTTGCTATTGTGTACCAGTCTTGCTATTGTATGTGCATATTCTGCAGTCGTACATAGCTAAGCGTGTATTGCAAGTAACGTATTACGTTGGGGTACGAGTATTCTGCAGTCATACTGTGCATAGCTAAGCATGTTAGGTAAGACACATATGCAACAGTTAGACAACTTTAGACAACTTTATTTCGGAATAAAGTTGTCTAACTGTTGCATATGTGTCTTACCTAACAACCTGTCGGTATTGTATACCATTTTGAAGTTCATAGCTAATCATGTTACACTGGGGTATGCCGCCTAGATGAGTCAGACATCTTGCTTCTGAATATACTTCATAAAACTTGACTAAATTTTCTCTATAGCGTTGGCATTGATTACGAAGGCACTCTCACAGCTGCCCAGCTTCGTGTTCTTATAAGTATCAAACTTCGTAAAGAGGAGATGGCACATCAAACTCCTCCCTCTACGGGAGCCAGGAGTAAAAACCTGATGTTCTCGCTGGACGAAAATGATACATCAACTGAGCAAAAATGTCAGTCTCATGCGACAGGGTTGTCTGAAGGCAAATCGGCTGTGTTGTCTTTTGAGTTGGCAAAAATAAATCTTGAGCAGATTAGGGAACAGAGGGCATATGCCAAGGAGGAATCTAATAGGAAAAAAGAAAGAAGGCGTTTTCTCAAGTTGTAAATGACTCTAGTTTACAGAAAGTAGTACAGCTGATTCCCTGCTTCAATGAGGCAGAACCAGAACAATTTTTCAAAACTTTCGAAAATCAGGCTCGAGCCTTGAGGTGGCCGGAACAGCACTGGGTGTCACTGGTTCACACATTATTGTTTGGCAAGGCACAAGAGTTTACGTCAGTATTAAATGACACTGATTTTACCAATTATAAAGCCGTGAAGACCACAGTTCTTGAAGCATACCAGTGCATTCCAGCTAAGTGTAGGAAGTCATTCAAATTAGGCAGAGAAAGCTTGGTCAATTTCTGGTTGATTTTGTGCGACAGCAGACCAAAGCTTTTACCAGCTGGTATAAAGCAAGTGGTGTCGCCACCTTTGATGATCTCGTGCAGCTCATCCTAGTTGTTAACCTGCTGGAGTCTGTGGGACCAGAGGTTAGAGTCTTTCTGCAGGATCATGACTTAACTACTGCATTGGCGGCACCCAGGTTGGCTGATACCTTCGAATCCAACCGCTCCTTGTCCAAGTGGTCCCATTTCTCTTTTCAACAGCCTGGCATGAGCAGAGATCATCAACATCGGAGGATGAAGTGCCAGCCGGAAGGAGAACATCTATGTCACCCAATTAAGCTACCTGGTGAGCCACGCTACTCAACTTACAGTCAACCCGGTGAGCGACAAATCACTCAACATGGTGCAACTCAACAACAGTATCCAGAGCGACACCAGTTACAACATCAGCAGGGAGCTAAGGTCAAGCCTGTTGTCTGCTACCTATGCAACAAAGTAGTTCACATCTGCCCAAATAAAGCCCAACCATTAGGAAAAAATCTATAGTGTCCCTAGTAACATGTCCCTGAAAGAAGTAGAGAAAGGGATGGCTCCTTATTACTGTCAGAGTCATATTTCCCTTCAGGAAGACTCAAAAACAACTGAAGTCAGAAGCTTTAGAGATACTGGAGCATATTGCTTGCTTATAAGAGAGGAAGTACTTCCCCTTTCTGAACACACTTCATTACAATCATCCGTTTTGCTTGAAGCCTTCGGAGGAGTGATATTTTCAGTCCTCTTGCATAGAATCTATACTGTAGGTGTATCCGAAGGATTTCCTATGAAAGATGCCATGTTATTACTGGGTAATAACATTACCACTGTTAGTGTATGTCCTGAACTCATAATGATTAATTCTCCTCCGGTGTTGGCCATAACTCGGGCAACATCCCAAGGGTTGTCTGGGAGAATGCTGACCTATCCTTGGACGACTCTGATCTCGGAATAGCCAATTTGTTTTACAAGGAAAACTGGCCAGAGCCTCGTAAATTTAGTGAGCAGACCCAGATCAAGCTTTCCTATTCCAGGGTTGCAGGATTGCCAGATATCTCTGTTTCCATGCCCGAGGGACTGTCCTGGAGAGGAACAACGAAAGGGCCCTTCTTTGAATTTCGCTTTTCAGGCAGCCATGGGTAAATCCTTTTCAGATCATGCGGTCAAATATAAACTTAAAAACGACTATTTTGATCTACACTGAGACTGGTAACAAGATAGAGGGCAGGCAACTGTCAGACAGGTTAGTGGTTCCAACAAAGTTTAGACCTCAAATATTGAATATAGCTCATAATACTTCATTAGGAAGTCACCTAGGAATTACTAAAACATTATATAGAATCACAAAAGAATTCTTTTGGCCAAAATTAAGGCAAGATGCGAACAATCATATCCGATGTTGCTGAGAATGTCAACAAGTAGGGAAACCTGGACATTCCATTAAACCTGCACCTCTCCAGCCTATACCTGCTGATGGACAATCTTTTGCAGAATTAATTATAGATCGTGTAGGTTTTTTTTTTATTTTTTATTATCACACTGGCCGATTCCCACCAAGGCAGGGTGGCCCAAAAAAGAAAAACTTTCACCATCATTCACTCCATCACTGTCTTGCCAGAAGGGTGCTTTACACTACAGTTTTTAAACTGCAACATTAACACCCCTCCTTCAGAGTGCAGGCACTGTACTTCCCATCTCCAGGACTCAAGTCCGGCCTGCCGGTTTCCCTGAACCCCTTCATAAATGTTACTTTGCTCACACTCCAACAGCACGTCAAGTATTAAAAACCATTTGTCTCCATTCACTCCTATCAAACACGCTCACGCATGCCTGCTGGAAGTCCAAGCCCCTCGCACACAAAACCTCCTTTACCCCCTCTCTCCAACCTTTCCTAGGCCGACCCCTACCCCGCCTTCCTTCCACTACCTAAGTCCAAGTCTGAAAAACAGTACTTATTTACCATTATGGATAGGGTAACTAGATACCCAGAAGAAATTCTCATGTGCAGTATCAATACTAAAGCCATTCTCAAGCCTTTAACCAGATTTATTTCTTGTTTTGGAATTCCAAAATCAATTCAAAGTGATCAGGGTACTAACTTACAAAAACCTCTGACAGACGGAACAATTTACAGAGTTCCTCACTCCAATATTTACTCTTTTAGAGAAAAACTAAGAAACATAATAACTAGCGCTGAAATGAACAAACACCACCTAATACTTACAGGGGACTTCAACATAAATCTAATCCATGACCATGACCCAAAAGTGACTGAATTCACAAATATTTTGAACAGCTGCTTACTTCTACCAACAATAACAAAACCTACAAGAATCACTGACATAAATGCCTCCTTATTAGACCATATCTGGACAAACACTATATCCCCGTTAAAAGCAGGCATAATCACTGATAACACCACTGACCACTATCCCATCTTTCTCATACCCAACTTGGGTAAAGTGCCCAAAGACACAACTAAGATCACATTCCAGTTACATAATGAGTCATCTGTTAGTAACTTGATTTCAGCAATTATTTATTTATTTATTTATTTATTTGAACATGATACAGAGAAGTACAAGGAATACAGTTAGGTGCAACATGCCAAAGCCCCTTGTATGCAGAGCCTTATGGGCAGGCTTAAAATTAACTTAAGATTAACTAAGCAATGATGTATTCAGTGGTAAAACATTATTGTAAACAGATAACAATTAGGCACAAATGAGTATTACTAAGACAGGTCATATGGTCATTTTCTGTGTTGCTGTGCATTCAGTAGAATGGAGTCTCAGGTTAAACATTTATGTGATACAATTATGAGAAGCATTTAAGATATACAATATATAAGATACAATTATTCAGTATTTATTTGGTTGTGGGTGAGTAAGTGGTTTTTGAGAAGACTTGAATTTATAAACAGTGTTTCTTTTATATTTTCAGGTAATGAATTCCAGATTTTAGGGCCTTTTATGTGCATTGAGTTTTTGCATAGCGTGAGATGGACATGAGGAACATCAAAGAGTGATCTGTGCCTTGTGTTATGGCCACGTGTTCTGTTGAGGTTGGTAAGGAGACGTTTGAGGGGAGGGTTTATATCAGAGTTAACTGTTCTATGTATGTAATAGGTGCAGTAATAAGTATGGATGTTTTGTATGGTGAGTAGGTTCAAAGTTTTGAACATCGGTGGAGTGTGCTGCCTGTAGTGGGAATTTGTTATTCTGACTGCAGCCTTTTGTTGGGTAATTAGTGGTCTGAGATGGTTTATTGTTGTTGAGCGCCATGCACAAATTCCATAGGTGAGATAGGGGTAAATAAGTGAATGATATAGGGCCAGGAGGGCTGACTGTGGAACACAGTACTGTATCTTCGATAGTATGCCTACGGTCTTGGAAAGTTTTTTGGAAATTTGTTGTATATGTGTTTGAAATTTGAGTCTATTATCAAGGTGGATTCCTAAGAATTTTCCCTCTGTGAGCTTTGTGATAGGTGATCCATTTATCATTATGTTAAGAGGGACATCTGTAGCTCTGTTATCAAACAGAATGAAGTAGGTTTTGTCAATGTTTAGAGCAAGTTTGTTAGTCCTCGTCCAGGTAGATATTTTCTGTAATTCGATATTTACAGTATTGGCTAGCGTGACTGGGCTCGGGTGGGAGAAGACGTATGTAGTGTCATCTGCAAATAGTGTGGGTTTGAGTAGTTGCAAAGCATTTGGTAGGTCATTTATGTATATGAGAAAGAGAAAAGGGCCAAGGACACTTCCCTGTGGGACACCAACTGTAATTGGCTATGCAGAAGAGCTTGCCCCATTTATGTACACATATTGGCTTCTGTTGCTGAGGTATGACTTTAGGTAGTTGAGGGAGTGCCCTCTTACACCATAGTGTGACAATTTTATGTGGAGCAAGTCATGGTCAACTGTATCAAAAGCTTTACGTAAGTCAATGAAAATCCCCAGTGGGACTTCTGTTTTCTCTATTGCGGTGTATATATGTTCTAGCATGTGTATAATAGCATCAATAGTACTTTTATTAGGCCTGAACCCAAATTGACAGGGGTTGAGTATGTTTTGGGAGATGAGGTAGGAATAGATTTAGTGACATTGACTGGCAAAGCAAGTTAGAAGACAACTTCAATATTGATGAATGTGTTAATATTTTTTACAAAAAACCCAAAACCTCTATAAAATGCATTGCCCAATAAAAATAAAGCAATCACAGCAAAGAGACTAAACAGTCCCTGGCTTACAAATAGCATCCTCAAATCTATTGATAAAAAACATCTATATGAAAAACAGTACAGAATGGGTCTGATAACAAAGGATCTCACAAAATGTTACTCATCAATACTAACCAATCTAATAAGGAGGTCAAAAAAACTGCACAGGTCCTCCATCACAAATCCGGAATCAGTGGGACCTGTAGTGTGCCGGATTACTGAGTTTGCTGGATTACAGAGTGGTTAGGTAAGAATACACTTAATAAAATTAACCAACTTGACTTACACAAAGTTCATTGAACATTGGCAAAAATCGAACATTTCCGCTACTTCGAGCTCAATTTCAAGGTACTTTTCGTCACGAAAGCAATCAAAATCATGTCTATTTCTGTATTATATCTTCTATTCTATCAAATGAGACCAAAAAAATGAGAATACAACCATAAAAACCATACACAA